TCAGGTGGACTGTGTGTGTGACTTATGCTATAAAAAATACCCTAAACATTAGGTTACTGTCTTGAACCGTTACTATTACCATTATAGCATATCAAGAGTCCACTAATGAAACATAGCTCTTACTCAAAAATTGGCTCAAAGGTTTTTTGTTTTGAGTTTAAATTGTGATAAGGAAGACGTTGGAGCCCATCTCCTGGTCTGTTTCGCTCTATTGCCTCTTAAAGCTCCCACGGGACGATATGAGATAGTGGATATTCGTACACTACCACTTCACGTTGGACTTTCGTTTCGCTCCAAATAACATTTACTCCCAAATATACATATAAAGATTTCTGTGATCGTAAACTTATGTACAGTAAATAATATTTCGTATTTTTATTTAAATCTACAGCACGCCAAATTATATTAGACTTAGCATCTAAAATATAAGACACTCCAGTTCGGATTTCGTTTGGTATCTATTAACAGGAAAGTAAGTGAATGTACAAACTTTAAGTTTATGGACAGTGCAATGTTTGATCAAAGATTTGAGCAAAGGTTGATCGTTAAATCGGAATTCTTATATAATTATGGTGACCAACGAGCATACCTGATGGTAAGTGGATATTGTGACAATGGAAACATTTACGAGTATCCTCGCTTAGGATTCATAATGCAGAAGCGTTGTCCCATGAGATCTAAGATGGAATGCCTCGTTTCTAGTATATAGAGTCAGTACAGTCAAAATAGTTCCATACTTTCCATACTTTTTATGAAAATATCATAGAAAATATTGTAAAGTATGGAATTAATATACATTATTATATTAAATAGAAAAACTCAAACAGATCAGCCCCCACAACTGCAAATGTCCATAAGCTGAAATAGGCACCTACCATAAGGTAGACATTTTCTTGTTAAGTAAGGTTGATAAAAGTTCACACAGTCTACCTGATGGTGATGATGCTGTCCCCAATAAATCCTTTATCGTCCATTTTGCATTACTCTTGAACTTGCCTGAAGATGTTAAAAAGTACCCAAAAGAACAGACATTAAAATCATAAACATATAATTACGAATCAAAATGCACACAGTTGCGTTGTCACCCCTGAGGACTAAGATGAAATACCTCGATTCCAGTAAAAGTCTCCGATTCTATACACTGACCATACGAATCACAGCAACATTGAGCTGCTATTTTACGCTGATATTCTTTGAGAGCGTGGTCTTTCCTGAATCTAATTGATCCATTACCACGTATCACAGCCATTAGCTGCAACATGACTCTAACATGGTGTGAAAACTTTTGTTTTGTGTTTGATTTTTAATTAAGTATCTATAACCTCAACAGCCAAGTATTTAACTGGTATACAAAATGCCAAAATTACAGCATCAATACCAACAAAAAATCCTTTTTAAAGAATCTTAAGAGATTCTAAAACACTCTCTTTGTGTATTGGAACACGACTAATCGTTTAAAAGCCTCTTGGAGCTATATCGCGCTTATCTTGGATCCCTTTCTTTGAGGATTCAATTAAAATCGATCGCTTCAACGTTTTTCAGTACCAAAGCCAAAGGAGTACCATCAAAAGACGCCAAACGTAATCAATTTTACAAATATCCCCCTGTATACTCGCCTTTTTCTTTCGCCCAGATGAATCGCCGTAAACCTTCACATAGCTTGGCCTTGAACCATTTTGAACTAAACCATAACAGTTGACATTAAAATTCAATATGAAGTATCACTGATGTGGAGTTATGTCGTTTATAATATAAGATCCAAATATGATAACATTGTGTGAAAGTATCAAAGCTAACTTTATTAGTAATTGGGATCAAAGATAATTGCACGTAAACATGTTGATTTAAGTGCTATTCTTGCAGAAAGCGTAGAGGTTCTTACGCCCTTGAGTATCTAGCACGGCGTCATCAATACAGTATCGTTGCCTTATCGTCATAACATGGCATTAAGACAGAAATCGTTCAAGGGAAAAATTGGCTAATAAATGTACTGAGTTTGCGGCGTCCCATTCACGACGTTGATCGGCCTGTTTATGATAGTATTTCTTAATTTCTTATAGGTGGATTCTTTTTTTTTAGTACCTGATGATGATGTGTCCTACTGTCACCTACACATCTTCGATACTATTCATGATTCAGAATATAAATGCAGATGCGTTGTCACTCCTGAGGACTAAGAGTAATCTCTACACTGACAACACAACAGTATTAAACTGCTTTGATTGTACGTACTTTGATCTGGTATTTTGTAAGAGCTTTGTCCTTCCCCATTCGAACCGACCCATTTTTGCTACAACCATGAGCCACACAATTTCATTCACATCCATCCTTCATCAGGAATGCAGATGCATTGTCACCCCTGAGAACTATGATAGATTGTCTCGTTAGCAGTAAAAAAAGTCTCTGGTACTTTACACTCACCATACGAAACACAGCAGCATTACACTAATGTTTCATGCGGTTATTCTTTGAGAGCGTACTCCAACCCTGGTCGCTGAAGCCAACCAATCGTGCCACATATAATATGTAGCTGCAAGGTGGCTCTACCACCAAAAAGAAACTTATACTTACTTATACTTATACTTACTTATACTCATACCAAATCAGCCTGAGCTCGATACAATGGTGTACTTTACTGCCTTTTCCAATTTGCCTGTGGGCGGCTTAGTTTTTTTATATTTGATATGAAATAAATATATAAAAAAGTCTGCCTCGTTCCGCTAAGCAAAGTGTGGGGAAACCCCCAATTAGATAGAGTGACGACCTGGTAAGAGATGCAGGAAGTCTTATTTTTGTTCCAACTTCCATTAAAATAGGCAAATTATAAACACTGCTATTGTTTTAGAATGATGCGTTCTCGCGATACATAGTAATTTATAGATGTAAAGCATGTGTGAGAAGTAATTTAATATGTTTTAGATCCATACAAATACGATTCAAGACCGTGTTTCGTGGCATTCTTTGGAGAGGTCTTTGTTTAGTAATAGATTGGTTACGGGCCATAATTATGACAATGAAGATGAAATTTAATGTGAGCCATTTATTTATTATATTCATAGATATTACCTCTAAGGCAATTGATAGGTATTTAATCAGAGTTACAAAAAGAGAAGTAATTTTTTTAAATGAAACCAATTTTACTGATTTTATCTCGTTTTTTTTTTTTAATTATTTGATTAGGTATTTCGGCAACAGCACCCGAAATGACGGAAATTAAAAAGTTTAAATAAAAATCCGTAAAATTAGTTTCATTTTATGTGTAGTAGTCGCTAGAACTTAACTAAATATTTATAGTGTATAGCCGCCCTATAAATCGTAATCAGGGTAATTTATATTGCGCCGATAGCTCAGTTCGGTACGATAAAGGCGCGTGTACATTATTAATGTGCCCTTAGATCGCTCCCGTCTTGTGATCTTCGATGATGGCTTCATAAATAAAGCCATTTCATATTAGTTATACGTTATTTACTATGGCCCATTTCATAAATGATCGGGAGGCTGTACTTAATCGCATAAAAATATATTAACTGAATCAATATCAGCGAGTTATACAATTAAGTAGTAATTAAACTCAGTAACTACCTGATGGTAAGCAGGTACTGCAGGCTATGACATTATATAGGGGATCTGCAACCCCTTTTTCTTATAGAATGAGTGTGACAAACAAGTTCACTTGATGGTAAGTGATCGCTGTGGTTCAAAGAAATCTACATCTATCCCCGACTAAGAATAAAAATGTAGATGCGTTATTTCTGAGGTCCAAAACGAACGCCTCGTTTTCAGTAAAAAAGTTCTTCGGTTGTGTTAGCACTTGGGTTGGCTCGACTTAGAATGACCATGTTCTCACAGAATGCCAGCGTAAATAGCTGCTTAATGCCAATGTGTTTGTATAATGAGTGTAGAGAACCGGAGTCCCTTTTAACTGAAAACGAAGCATTCCATACTACGAGTAGTCCTCATCTATGACAACACATCTGAATTTTAAATCTTAGTAAAGGATAAATATAGATGTCTATGGGCCTCAGCATCCACTTACCATGTTTTTTACGGTTATATTATTATGGTTTTTACGTACTGCAGCTATATTAGTAGTATAATTGTAAAACGAATGGGTCGGCTCGACTAGGGAAGGATCACGCTCTCACAGAAAACCTGCGTAAAATAACAGTTCAACGCTGCTGTTGCGTATCGTGAGTGTAGAGAACTGGAGATCCGTTTAACTGGAAACGAGACATTCCATCTTAGTCTTTACTGAGGATAGATGTAGATATCTATTGGTCACAGCAACCACTTCCACCCAGGTGGACTGTGTGCTCGTTTGTCACCCTTATCCTATAAAAATACCATCAGGTAGACTGTACGCTGTTGGTCACCCTTATTCTATAAAAAATCCTACTAGTACTTCCGAAAAAATCCTACTACTACTAGTACTTCAGAGGCCACAATGCATCTGACTGCAGTTGACATTTACGGTCAGGTAGACAGTAACTCCGTTTGCACTTCAATAAAAAAAATTATTGCGTATCAGTATCCTACATCTAGGTACAAATTTTTATTTCTAGACTTATATTAATGGGTGCGTTTGGCAGAAAAAAGCGCTAGCAAGCGCTTGTAAACAAAATGGCGATCGTAAGCGGTAAGCGCAGTCAAATCGTAAGTAGTTATTTTCCTTCAGGACACGATGTTAGTTTTAACCTCGGAACCTAACCTAATTTAAATATTTGTTTGTAAAGTATTCATATTAAAAACTTACCAATCGTGAATTTTTAATAACATGTATATGTCTATTCATGTCATTATATTACTTAAAACTAATATTGCACAAAACAACTTATAATTTCTCCTTCAAAACAAACAAATTAAATAAGCAAAATGGCGGATTGTGTCAGCGCTACTGAAGTAGCAATCGTGTCCTGGCCGAAAACTATTTTAGCGCTTGTAAGCGCTTGCTAGCGCCATTCATCTTATTTTATTTTTATTTTTTCTTGTTTCAGATCAAAATGCCCGCAACAAAGGACCACTCCTCGAAATACGCATACAGTCGATCCATTTCACAAAGTAAGTATAAAAAATAAGGGCGGGGAACGAGATGCGCCCTGATGATTGACGGATGAGTTCTTGAAAACCGGTTGATAGCCCTACGTTAACCGTTTATACATGGCGGAGCCACGCTGCAGCTATATTATGGTTTGTGGCAGGAATATGTCGGCTCTAGCAAGGAAAGGTTCTCTCACAGAATACTAGCGTAAAATGGCAGCTCAATGAAGCTGTGTTTCGTATGGTGAGTGTAGAGAACCGGACACCCTCTTCACTGAAAACGAAGCATTCTATCTGCATCTTAACTCTGGATGGTCTCTGGGAGACGTAGACGTATAATACATGAGGTAGACTGTGTACTCGTTTGTCACTCTTTAGGAAAAACCGTCCAATGACAAACACTATCTCATGTGTGACGCCCATTACTTGAAATGGCCTATGTCCAAATATGGACTCAATAATCTTCGAATGCATACTCGCCTATTTTTTTAATGCGTGCCAGTGCTTGACCACTTCACCTGTTAGTAAGCGGTAATGAAGTCCTTTATGGTACGCTCTATCTTAGCTTCAGTCCACCTGATAGTGGCTACTGCAGTCCACGGACTCCTGCAGCCATCTTCAAACAAAGAAGCCTACACATGACTTGTCACATCTGAGGACTAAGAATGAAATGCTTCACAGAGTGTACATATATTGGCTTTCTATATGATTCACAGAAACACTATGTAAGAGTGTGGTTTCTATCCAGATGGACTTCTAGGCAAAAAAGAAGTCCTGGTCTAAAATCCTGTGCACTCCTGTCTTGTCTTCTTGAAGATACCTAGATTGAAGTCGGGCGGTACGACTGAGGCTGAGAAATCGCTGCATTCCTTTGCTGTACAGATAATGGAAGACTAATCAAAACGTTTGGTTCAGAATTCTAAGGCGTGGTAATGGTTCTACCGACAACAAAGACTGAAGATCCGCTGACCGTATAGTTGTTAGAAAGGGGAAAAGACGTTAAATCATGTTAAATCATTTCTACGTGGTAGAACTATGCTGCAGCTATATTATGGTGTATCACGAAAGGGTCGGCTCCACCGGGGAAGGACCAAACTCTCACATAATACCAGCGTTAAATAGCAGCTTGATGATGCTGTGTTTCGGATGGTGAGGGTAGAGAACCGGAGACCCGTTTTACTGGAATCGAGGTATTCCATCTTAGTCCTCAGGGGTGACAACGCATCTGCATTTTGGCTCTTAATCGAGGTTTAATGTAGATGTCTATGGGCCAGAGCATTCACTTACCATCAGGCGCACTTTGTGCTCGTTTGTCACACTAATTCTCAAAAAAAAAAATCCTGCACGTTCCAGATCACGATTTTAATACAATATTTTTATTCGCCATCTCAAAGTAACTATAAGTTAATTCTATAGCTGTTTTGCTAATGGTGTCGTTAAGAGTTCGCGCGTTGCCCCTATGCGTAATGCTCATAAACTTCTCTAGTCCTCAAAAAAATATTTTATTTTCTCATACTTTAGATTTTTTACGTGGTGGAGCCATTCTATAGCTATAATATAGTTGGAGCACGAATAGGTCGGCTCGACCGGAGTAGGATCACGCTTTCATATAATTATGCTGTATTTCGTAAGGTGAATATAAAGAACTGGAGATCCTGTTTACTGGTAACGAGGCATTTATCTTAGTTCTCAGGGGTGACAACACATTTGCAATTTGTTTCTTCATCAGAGGATAGATTTAATTTCTATGCGCTGCAACTAATGGAGAATAAGAAGTAGGTACGCAAGGCTCATAACAACCACGGTTTAAATTCCGTTGTTTTTATACTCAAAACAAACAAAGCGAAGCGTTTAAGCGTCATCATACTAAAAACATGTTGTGGTTAACTGTTCTACCAGTTAACCACTATTGCGTGTGAACGCTATCACGATACCTGTCCTTCCTCCAATCTCATAGATACTACAATAATATAAGGACGAGTCAATGCGTAGTTTTACTATATTTCAAGCACACACACCCACTAAATAGTGTTGTAAGCAGTTATACGTTTCTCTATTCAAACTGACATTCAAATCTAGAAATATATCAGAGCCGTTATTCACGTTCGGATCTTTGAGAGATCAAGAGATCAAGAAAAAGCAATTTCGCTTGCGATTACTACCGCCATCTAGCGACATATGAGGACTTCCATTCTGATAATTCAGATTTGAATAACCATTCGATTATGTTTGACGGTTTCGGGAGTACGAAATTACCTTGAGTTTAAATAAATCTCGATTGATTCCGAAATCCATTGTGTCGGGAGTAGGATAGCTTTGTAATTACCGCTGACAAAAATAAACTTATGCAACATCTTCCTTCATTAGAACAATTAAAGTTCTAAGTAAAAACTTATAAGAATGCTAAGTTCTTTACAAAGTAATCTTAATTTTCTAGGTGGCATGTCCATGTCAGCGAAGGTCTATCACCCGGCCACCAACTTGCTACCACCATCACCACCTCTATCACCAACCGGAGTGGCACCGGCCTTCGGATCCAGCACAAGATCTACTAACACATGGACCAGGCAAAACAGTCAAAGCAACGGGAAATATTCTTGATAGAATGCAAAAAGAAGAATCTAGAAATAAACTACTCGTCTCTTGATTTGTGATACCCGATGCGGGAACCCGATATTAATTAATTTGCGGTATAACAAATTACAAAAAATTATAATATGGCGGGAATTTTGACAGGCGCGGTCTGTGAGCCTTTACTTTAAAAACATTTAATTCTAAGTATAGTATGTTTGTTATTCATTAGATTATACAATTGTATATAGTATAGTTAAATAAATCATCTATTTAAAAACCTATTAATTATTTAATATTATTAGTATGCAGTGAAAATATCCCAAATTATCAAATCTTATTTATTAATTACAAAGAAAATTATTTTGATTATCTATAAGTACCTACTATCATACAAATAATGTGATGATGTTTGGATATTAGTATCTCAATCAAACTTTTAAAATGCAGTTAGGTACACAGGTAATCAATACTTTCAGGAAAGAAAAAAATAGATGGGAAAATAAAATTATTATTAGAAAAAGTATTAGATTTAAAATTAAGTTACGTAAAGAAGATGTTTTAAGGTTAATTTTATAACGCTCAGAGTATTTTATGATAATAAATTACAACACGATTATCATTATTATCTATATTATTAGTAGGTATTCTATGATAATTTGTAATATATCAGGTACAAATTGATCGAATATTTAAGTTATTCAAATGTGTGTTTTAATGCTTTGACATAAAGTTGAAAATATGCAAATAGGAATGTTAAATTTCAAATACCTGTACTCAACATTAAATTATATCTGCAATGTAAAGGTCTGGATTCCTCGATTTTGATGTAATTTTTAGTTTGTATGTATGCCAATTAATTTTTTAACAATATTTTATGGGAGAACTCGTACTACTAGGTAGGAAACAGGAAGCTACTAAGTAGAAACTACGTATAATTTATAACGACATAAGTATTATGTATTGAACATGATATGTCGCTATAAATTATGTTAAATTATGTTATGTTGTAAAGAAAGAAATAAAGAAGAGAACACTAAAAAGTCCTCGATGGAACTCGGCGTAATTAAATCGACGTGGTTATCATTATCCACATCGCTCCACAAGTCCACTGCTGAACGTAGGCCTCCTGTAAGGAATACCACATGCCAAGCAGAGAGCAATTCGGCGGAATTTTAGGATATAATCACTTAGTAACTTGGAAGACGACGGATAACCGGCATAGGAATATACCTGACTAGGGTTGCCAATAGATGGCGGTATTATCATTTTTATAGCCAGATATAAAATGCCCATGTTAGCATCAGAAAATAAAAAAGTTGGCCCTGTTTTTTGTTAAGATCCTGAACACGCCACTAGGCATCATTGTATATAGAAAAATATCACTTACTAAATAACGGAGAGAGGGTATTAAAGGGATTTAATAGAGGAAATTGTTGATATATAAGGTGATAAAATTTTAGGATGGGGGTAATAAATATATAGTTAAGTAGTCTAATTTTGTTTATTTTATTAAAATAAAATTGTTTTACTTTTGTGTAATTTTGTTTCTCTTTTCCCTATGTGTACGGATGTATGTATATGTCGCAGCCAATTATCTTAATTAGCCTTTCAGTTAACAATCCAGCCTTTTTACTAAACGGCACCGTTCAAATAGCGGTCTTAATGATATTCAGCCGACGTGTAATCAAAAAAAAAATAAGTACATGAATTGTAGTAGCTGTTATTATGGGATAGGCGATAGGCGGGTGCATTGGCATGGCACCCACCTATCTTATAATAGCAGCGATAGCTAGTTAAGGTGCGGCTGCGTACATTTATATATTATAGCACAAAGTGCATAATTAGCTAGAGACCAATGACATTTACTCGCGTGGTTATGGCCACCTTATTAATTTCACTCGATGAGACGGTCTCTGGTTGTTTTAGATGCATCAGCTGAATATCATGCAGCTGTTCACCGCGTCTTAAGACGCTAGTTGAACGGCACCGTTTAGTTAAAAAGCTAGGCGGTTAACTAAAAGGCTAATTGAGCTAATTGGCTGCGACAAATCGATTTCCGAAAGGCCATCTTGCCAGATGGTCGGGGTTCTTATGGATTCTCCTGACATTTGAAATGATCTCCAAACTCCCAATATATCTCAAAATCTCCAGACAAACAGCTTCTCGGAAAGTAAACGTATGGCCTTTGATTTAATAAAAGCTGAGTTAATAATTAGACTTTTTAATTAAGAGGCTATATATATAAAAGTAAAAGATAGAGACGGCGGGGGGGGGGGGGGGGGTAGTAGTGTTAGAACAAATCTTAATGGTAACCATTGATCTATTTTGTTGTGAGACGCTGCTGTTGAGTGTATTTTGGTCTCCCATTCTGATGAAATTCAGTATACCTTAATAATTGTTGTATCTGTTGACAATGGCAGTTTAGGTCTAAATTAAATCTTAAATACCTGATCACATTAATTCTAAATGTTGTTGAGAAATTATGTGATCTACTAGCTTATACACCCCATACCCACGGTATGTTATGGGGTAATGGATTCTCTCAAGATGTCACTACACATCACTGAAGGGAAACTAAGAGTAGAGATCGCCAGCAACTTTTTTCTTATAACAGCTCAAACAATAAAAATCCTATGGTTGGCAACCCACCTGCCATGTATAGAAACTATGGCAAATAGGCACCCTATATATATATATATATATATATATATATATATATATATATATATATATATATGTGGGGGGGGGGTGTGTGTGTGTGTGGGGGTGTGTGTGTGTGTGTGTGTGTGTGTGTGTGTATATACAACTTTTATTTTTAATATTTATTTTTCCCGAACCCAAAAAATCCCGACTTCTTCAAAATTTGTTCAAATATTTTGGTCTTCCGATCTTGGCAAATCTAGCTATAGGGCATGACAAAGCTCGAGAGATTTTAAAAAGGCCAAAACATAATGAAACTACCTATCTTATCAATTTTATACTTGTTAATAGAAACATCGGTATATTAGCGTCACAAACTACACCTGATGGTTGGTGGACGCTGTGTCTGAGTCGGTTGGCGCCCTTAATGCCTCATTAACAGAAGAGGATTTTTTTAAATAGATCAGGGGGCTAATGAGCATGCGGCTCACCTGATGGTACCCGCCGCTTATAAACAACTGCAAACACCAGAAGAATTGCAGGATCATCAGTTCCTGTTACTGACCATATCAAAACCAGGGGCATTGTGCTGCTATTTTGCGTTAGTATTCTGTAATGAGATTTTTATTAATAAAAGAGGGAGATTTACGCGTATGTACAGCATTCCTTTAAAAATCCTACTGGCAGAACTAACCAAGATGTCTCGCGCATAACTTGAGTCTGTTATCTCGCCTCCGATTTAAATAATAAATAGGTATGTATTTTATTTTACAATCTGGTTTTATGATAGTTTAATAAAAATAGATCCGTAATATATGGTTAAAGAGCCATCTATCGGAACTTTTGTAACTCGCAAGAACTATAAGACAATTTATTTATATCGCCTGTATAACACCGACGTATTATGAAGAGATGTTGAATCCTTCTATGATACTTTCACACGGTGATGATCATCAATCTAAAGTTTAAGCCAATAACATCTTATTGCCTTCCCTTCACATTATGACAATTTATATATGCGCCATACTACCGTACCTACTGTAAATTAAAAGAAGGAGAACAATGTTTCGACTTTTATTATTTTGAGTTCCACTACTCAATGCAATTATTATTATTTTTATTAAATAAAATGTAGAAAAACGTGTACATTTTGTAAGCAATTGATAATTTAGCAAAATATAATATTTTGCAACATTTTATCCATTATTTCCTACAATGCCATCTTACGTGTTTTTGTTAAATGTTTTCAAATAATCAATGCACCAAACAACAACTATTCTTTCTCGACATCTAGTGGTCATAATATAGAACTATTTCATTTTATAAAATTACGTTCTCTTCAGCGCCATCTTACGAGTCCCCGTTATACTTATTTGTACACAATCAATAGTGTTACAGTGAGTAGACATCTAGTGGTTATACAAATAACTATTTCCTGGTGATAAATTGATTTCTAAAATATTTTTCATAGACGCCGCTAGATGTCAATTTAAAAATAATGTTTAACAAAATTCATCATCATTCATTATTACTACAGTTCATAACAATCGAAGACCACAATATGATAACAATCTAATGCCGAACATAGGCCTCCTTCAGAGATTACCTCACTTAGCAGTCAGGTTAGCAACTCATTTCATTATTGGAGTATTTATCAGTAATGTGCTGCTATTGAATTATTTTTGTAAATGTTATTATTAAATATTTTCAAACAAATTTCGAGTATTTCAAATTCAAACTTTCAATAATTTTTAGTTTTAACGAATGAGGTTCATTATTTTATGTTGGCAAATAAGGCGATGTTATGGTGTTTATTATAGCCGTTCAGATGCTAAGTGCTCGCTGTAAATTTAGAACAAATGAAATTTAGGCACTGATTTACCACGTGCTCGACGGTGTAGGAAAACATCATGACGAAATTTTAGAAATTGAAAAAAATATACGAATGTGACGTCCGCCAACACGCATCAGGGAGCGCGGTGGACAATTCCCTGGCCTACAACTTCCAGAAATGAGAGGAGACCTGGGACGTATATAGACAGTTACTTTACTATTGTGCCATAGGTATAGTACGTGAGGGTGCTAATATGGTCATCCGGTTAATATGGTCACTTTCTTATAGCTCAAAAACTGCAGCCTTGTTTACATAGATGGCTCTGTGATACCATAGCTCTTCATCGGTCAATTAATTAATAAAGGGTAAAAAGGGCGCTGCTTTATCAACGCCATTTTAAATTTAATACCTGACTGTAGACAGTTTTTTTAAATTGATTTTCAAAGTGTTACTTAATAATTGCTAAAGCTTGATTGCTATTTTTTCGTAAGATATTAGTTGTAGTACACGACTACGTGTTTTTATCTCTGTCTTCCTCTTAGCTTCGATTTTA